AGAGTTCATTTCAAGTGTGCTATTTGCATTTGGAATCTGTTGCTGTCAACTCTCAAGATGAGATCCAAAGAGCTGTCACTATCAGTGAAGCAAGCCATCATTAGGCTGAAGAAACAAAACAAACCCATCAGAGAGATAGCAAGAACATTAGGCGTGGCCAAAACAACTGTTTGGAACATTCTCAAAAAGAAGGAACGCATTGGTGAGCTCAGCAACACCAAAAGACCCGGGAGACCACGGAAAACAACTGTGGTGGATGACTGAAGAATTCTTTCCCTGGTGAAGAAAACACCCTTCACAACAGTTGGCCAGATCAAGAACACTCTCCAGGAGGTAGGTGTATGTGTGTCAAAGTCAACAATCAAGAGAAGACTTCACCAGCGTGAATACAGAGGGTTCACCACAAGATGTGAACCATTGGTGAGCCTCAAAAACAGGAAGGCCAGATTAGAGTTTGCCAAACAACATCTAACAAAGCCTTCACAGTTCTGGAACAAGATCCTATGGACAGATGAGATCAAGATCAACTTGTACCAGAGTGATGGGAAGAGAAGAGTATGGAGAAGGAAAGGAACTGCTCATGATCCTAAGCATACCACCTCATCAGTGAAGCATGGTGGTGGTAGTGTCATGGCGTGGGCATGTATGGCTGCCAATGGTACTGGTTCTCTTGTATTTATTGATGATGTGACTGCTGACAAAAGCAGCAGGATGAATTCTGAAGTGTTTCGGGCAATATTATCTGTTCACATTCAGCCAAATGCTGCAGAACTCATTGGACGGCGCTTCACAGTGCAGATGGACAATGACCTAAAGCATACTGCAAAAGCAACCAAAGAGTTTTTGAAGGGACAGAAGTGGAATGTTATGCAATGGCCAAGTCAATCACCTGACCTGAATCCCATTGAGCATGCATTTCACTTGCTGAAGGCAAAACTGAAGGGAAAATGCCCCAAGAACAAGCAGGAACTGAAGACAGTTGCAGTAGAGGCCTGGCAGAGCATCACCAGGGATGAAACCCAGCGTCTGGTGATGTCTATGCATTCCAGACTTCAGGCTGTGATTGACTGCAAAGGATTTGCAACCAAGTATTAAGATGGGAAAGTTTGATTTATGATTATTATTCTGTCCCATTACCTTTGGTCCCTTAGCAAGTGGGAGGCACATATGCAAACTGCTGTAAGTCCTACATCGTTCACTTGAGTTGGATGTACATACCCTCAAATTAAAGCTGACAGTTTGCAGTTAAAGCACATTGTGTTTGTTTCATTCCAACTCCATTGTGGTGGTGTATAGAGCCAAAGATGTTCGAATTGTGTCGATGTCCCCATATTTCTGGACCTGACTGTATATAAAGATTTGGCTTTTCCTTCAAGTGTTGGGACACACATTAGAACTGATTGGCGTCAAGTTGTTGTGGCTTTTAATGTTTTAATTGGCTGAGTTTTATAGTTTTAAAATGATTATATATGTCTTTTAATTTTTGATTGGTAGCTGCTCAGAGTTGGTTGAAAGATAGGCGGCTACAGTGCTTTTTTTGTAAAAAAAAAAAAAAAAAAAAAAAAAAGGTGCCAGAACTCACACGTCATACAACCCGTCTTGCCTACCCTACAAGGTATCGGAACTCCGTTCTGGACGTTCTATGACAAAAAAAGCCCTGGGCGGCTATATAAATGAATAGGGTATATATTCTGAAAGCTGGATTTTATCCTATCAAATGACTTTGAAAGAAGCAGACTTTTTGCCAACTTGCTCTGTGGTCCAATGGAAAGATAGTTTATAATACAGTATCTGGCTAGATTACTGATGTATACTCTTTATGTAACTTCTTTTAATATCAATTAATGAATCCCAGTTGATGCAGAGTATGCAAAAGATGTTCAGATTGTATTATGCTAAATATGTATTAAATACACCAATTGCCTTTTTCTTACTATACATAATTTAAAATTCTGCTTTGGTTTTAAAAGTCCTTCATAATTTTAATCAAGTTTTCTGAAGATTACCAGCATTCATAAAATTTGTTGGCACTATCCCCCCAAGCTTAATCCTAGAACATCTTAGGTTCACTACTACCTAGTGTATGTTCTATCAGCCAGCCACAGACATTAACGGAACTCTTTTATTCTCTAAATACAAATTGACTATATTTGGAAACTTTAAAAACTTTTATGAAATACTTTTGTACTTTATTAAAATTTGCAGCTTTAATATGTGGTCATGCCCCCAAAGTTACCGCTGTAAAATTGGGTTATTATATAGTAAAACTACTTTTGAGTTCATTATATTTTATGATAAATATTATTATACTGAACGGAATCTCTCTTGAAGAGGCAGTTTAGACTGGGACACGCAAGCGGCAAGCAAGTGCGAAAGTGCACGAAGCTCCATTTGCACAAGTGGCAAGCACACATAGAAAACCATCCCCTCTTCTCCCACCTCCATTGCTGCCAATCCGCATAACCAGAAAGATTGGGAACTGCTGGTTTAGACTATTCTTCTGACTTACAGAAATCTCTATGCTTCTTTATTACAAGAAGCAAAAGTTAAATAGAAAAATGTATTATTTCAGGCAGTTTGTCAGTTCAAATTTCATTACAAATAGAACCTTACCATTTTAAAAGAAGCATACCTACACAAACAGCTATTTAAATACACTCAAAGTTTCAGACTCAGACGAATAAGAGTTTACAATCTATTATGAGCAAGAGTTTACAATCTATTATGTCCTTATACCATAAAGATATCCAATCATTATTAGTCAGTAGCCATAACACTTGAGAATTTTAAAAGGCCCTTAGCTGGCATTTTTCCCAAAGACATGATATTTTTCTCCAATAATAAAAGTATCCAAAAAGCTATGAGAATATAGACTATTTTAAGATGAGACAGTGCTTAATAATTGCGAAACTGAACTGGAAACATAATTAGAAGACATAGCTTCAGTATCATGAAATTAAGATTACAAAGAGAAACATGAAACACAGAAATGTAAGGATCATGTGGTGGTACAGATGTTTGTGGGAAGACACAGTCAATTAAAACTATTAATATAAACAACATTCTGTAATATGGGAGTTATTAGTTTTAAAAATATTGCATCACCTTAACCACAGGCACAAAAATAAAATAAGAGGCTTACCAAGCATCTTTAGTGTCATGTTCAGTCCTAATGAAAGCATGTATTAAATGGTAGTATTTATTTATTTATTTATTTTAAAAAATATGATTGCCCGACTCATTTTCTGTGATTCTGGGCATCTTACAAGGATAAAATCTTAATACAAAAACAATACTGCCTCCCCCCCCGGATGACAACAATCAGACAAGCCACTTAATTGGCTCCCTATTACTCTGGGGTCCCCAAGCCATTGGCAGAACCATGTCTTCAGGGCCTTGTGAAAGACTCTAAAAATGTGGGCCAATCTTATTTCTGCAGGGATAAGGGAGGGAGCCACCATGGAGAAGACCCTTCTTCTTGATCCTGCTAGATGGACCTCCTTAGGAGAGGGGACCCATAGTATTCCCTGCCTCCCCATTCCAGGGGATTGAGTAGATATGCCTGGGAAAAGACGTGATCCCATGCCATGTAGGATTTTGAAGGTGACAACCAACATCTTGAACTGGACCCAGAAGCAAATCAGCAGCCAATGCTGTTCCTGCAGGAGAGGTGACATGTGCAAATCTAGGCTCGCACAAAACCATGTGGGCTGCTGCATTTTAGAAACCAATTGAAGTTTTCAAATACTTTTTAAGAGCGTGTAAGACTGTTTGAACTGCATCATCTAGCTGACCTAAAAACTGATTGATTTAATGAGCATGCCCAATGTCCTTTTATTTTTTACCAGCTCCAACATTTAATATATTACAAGGGTTAAATGGAAGTATGAATTAGATCAGGGGTAGTCAATCTTGGCTCTTTTATGACTCGTGGACTTCAACTCCCAGAATTCCTGAGCCAGCATAGCTGGCTCAGGAATTCTGGGAGTTGAAGTCCACGAGTCATAAAAGAGCCAAGGTTGACTACACCTGAATTAGATGTTTTCTTACTTTTTCCCATGGTTCAATTCTGCATGTTTGTTGAAATGGTTCTGTCAAAGTTAGTGGATACACTAAGCTTCTCAGTTATATGTAGTTTTACAACCCTATGCCTCTCCAGTATCAATTGGAAACAGATAATAATTATATATTATTCCACTCAAACTCAGCCCGTACATGAAATTGTTCAAGGAAGTAAAACTTACGAAACTTGCAAAGCTGAATTAATTTCCTTGAGCAGCTGTTGGGTCTTATTAAAATCTGCCAGCATACTTTGTTTCTCTCTGATGTGGTCAGCTGTCATGACATCCAGCTTTTTTTCATGTTTCTTGCTTAAATCTTGTTCATGTAGCCTGTTTCATTTTATGTTAAAAACAGTTATTCTTATCAGTTGGGTTCATTAATTTTGATATTTGAAAAGGCTTTGTGCACAGTGATACTGATAATTGCAAAATTATTACAATTTCTCTAACCTCTAGCTTATTTTTATAATTTTTGTCATCTCCTTTAATGCTTTAATAATGAAAAGCAAACAAAATCCGTTTAATTAAATGGTCAAAATAGCTTTTTCCAGTTGCTAATGTCTAGAATAATGTGCAATGCCATATAATAGACAATCCCAGCCTAAATGCATTATTAAATTAACCAATATTAGACTTTGATTAATATAGCAGTTTGAATTTGAGTACCTAAAATACTCCATGTAAATTAAAAAAAGGTTATTCTTTATCAGCTTTAGGAACTGAATTAATTAGAACTTGTTACCTGACATCAGAAATACTCATACCTAATTTGCTGATTAGATTCGCTACGTATTCGTAGAATTTCCTTCCCTTTGAACTCCAATTCCTTAGTTAATGCACTTATGTTCTCATGCAAAGCAAGTGTTTCCTTATCCAATTCTGATATATGGTAGTCTCGATGCCTCAGTTCATCCTGTACATCTGATATTCGGCACATAAATTCTTTCTCCTAATAAACAAGTATTAATAATCAAAGAACACTTTGCAATAGTTCTACGTAGTATATTCATTTCTGCAGAATAAACATACTCAGTTTTTTCACTAAAATATTTCTATTTCCTTATTAGTAGTTTAGATTGTATTTAGAAACTGAATATTTAAATCATTGGTGTTCAACCTTTTGGCTTGCCTGAGTTGCACTGAGTGAAGAGAATTTGTCTTGGGCCACATATAAAATATATAATGTAGGTAATATATATATCACATAATGTTAGAAGTTTTCAATCTTGTGGGGCTGCTTTACTAGCTGTCCAGGACCATATGCAGCCCTTGGGCCATGGGTTGTACACTACTGATTTAAATGAAAATGTATCCTCCTTAAATTAGGGGATTCTTGTCTTCTCTTTATTCCTCTTCATCTGTGAAAAATCAAATATAAAGTTAAAGGGAATACTGAATAAGAATTCTGAGATTACAACTGAGTTTTCAGACTGAGTTGTGCTTGCTTCTTTTCAGCCAACACAAGCTCCCTCCCCCCTGCCCCCTCCTCCGACTTAGAGAGACTACTAAGACTGATCTCCAATTCAGGTTTTCAATTATTTGTCAGAAAGGTTTGATAGTGTCTTTAATTACTGTATTTTTTTTGTTATACTGCCTTCACCTTTATTTAGCACCAAATCATATTTCAACAAAGATGTTTAGATCCAGACTTGTTCTTCTGTAAATAAAATATTTTATTTGAACTAAAGTTCTCTTTACTTTAGCAGACACTTTTACTGCCACAATGCCACATGCAGTTCCTAAAACTAACAAATTATAAAGATTTCTCTTGCATCCCCCAATCTGTTTCAGGGAAACAGAAGGAGTAGGGAAAAAACCAGCCCTTCTCCCACAGAAACATCCTGTGAGTGAAATTTCAGTCATAAAGAATCAGGCTTTAAGCCTATAGACATTAGTATAAAATATACCGAACATTCTGGAAGGCGCTGGTGCAAATTACTGTGGACTTGCTGCTGAAAGAGATGGATTATCTCAAAGAGTACCATAATAATTAGTTGAGATGCTTGTTCAATTTAATTTTCTCAGAATGCTTAAACAGAGCTTCTTTCTTTTTTTCCATTGTCTGTTTATTTTCCCCTTGTGTCATCTTACCCTTTTTTTCCTCATTTTCTTCTTTATGCAACTATCTTATTTCTTTAACTCATCTACATCCTGTTTTAATCTTTACTGCTGAAGAGAGAGAATGGAATCTGAGTGGGTAGAATGTGAGAGTGAATGGTTGACATGTGCAAATGAAATATCAATTAATAGATTAATGGGGCACATTTTTCAGGCAATTAATTTTAATTAGTTTTTCATTAAAGTGTATTTTTTAACTTTATTATCTGAATATAATAGTTTTTCAGGTGAACAGATTTTTCTGTATGGAAGTGGATTGGAGTCAAATGGAATTAGGACCCCTAGATCACAGGTCGGCAACCTGCGTCTCTGGAGCCGCATGCGTCTCTTTGGGCCTTCCCTTGTGGCTCCCAGCCTCCTCTGCCATTTGCAGAGAGAGACAGAGACAGAGAAAGGCACTTGCGCTTCCCTTCTCTCTCTCTCTCTCTCTCTCTCTCTCTCTCTGTGTGTTTGTGTGTGTGTGTAAAAAAGAGAGTGGCCTCACCCTGTTCGATGAGCCGACAAGCTTACTAGGCAGGGCTCCTGCCTTGGCTGCGTCTCTGCAGGAAACAGGAAGCAGGAAGGGCAGAAGAGAGCTAGCTAGCCCAGCTATGCTGACTCAGGAATTCTGGGAGTTGAAGTCCATGAGTCATAAAAGAGCCAAGGTTGCCTACCCTGAACTTGTTGGAGAACAGCTTGAAGCCAGCTTGCCAGGTAAGCAGAAAATCGGAGAGAGGGAGAGAGGGAGAGAAAGAGAGAGGGAGAGGAAGAGAGAGGAAAGAGAGAGAGAGAGAGAGAGAGAAAGAGAGTGGGGGAAGAGGACTGGCAGACCAAGGGCAGAAAGAGAGAGAGGGAGAGAGGGAGGGAGAGAGGGAGAGAGAGACAGAGAGAGAGACCCTTTATATATATATATATATATAAAGGTAAAAAAGGATATATGCAGTGTTATCTTCATTTTAGATATCAAAAGGGTTTTGCGGCTCCCAGTGTTTTGTTTTTGGTGGGAAACTGGTCCAAGTGGCTCTCTGAGTGTTTTGGGTTGCCTACCCCTGCCCTAGATTAATAAAATAGGGAAGCTAGCAGTACATAATATTTTTATCTATTTATCTATCTGTCTGTCTGTCTATCATGTTTATCTGTCTCTGTAATATTGTCAACCAGTGGGATCTATTGGTTAAGATGCCAGAGTGGGGAAATGCAGGTTCTCATCTTCTGTTATGCTTGGAAGCTGGTAAGGGGCTGATAGATTTGATTTTGATGGGTGGGTGGGTAGGTTGGTAGGTAGATAGATATAAATAACCTGCAATTTTCTATTTTTATTGGCAAAATTTGGGAAAATTTTATTGACAAACTTCTTCATTTTGATAATTTGCTGCGACCATTTAATTCTGTTACTTATCTTTGCAATAATAGTTACAATTATTTCAGTCAAAATTACCATTAAGGTGATAGTGTAAGATAAATTCTGAATTAGACCAGACTAGATTAGTCTGGCTACAGTAGGTGGTTACAGCATGTGGACAATTTCATGCTTCATTCAAAAGCAACAAAGTAACATGCTTAATGCTAATTTACAATTAGTGTATATTGCTACCGTATATGGTTGTAAAACCTGGACATCAAATGCAAAAGCAGCACAAGTTTAAAGTTACATACAGAATCATGGAATGATAAATGCTAAACATAACATGTGATAAATCAAATATAAGGATCTGCCACTAGACAGGAGTGTGGGATATAATGAAATTTAAATGGCAATACGCTGGCTACATTATATGACAACTAGATCAGCAGTGATGAACATCAATCCTTGCAAAATGCCAATGGACCTCAACAAGACTAGAAAATGTCCCAAAGAAATGCTGGACAGATGATGTAACTCAATTCAAATGTGTTAACTGGGAAATGAATCAAATACCATGTATTAATTTTTGATCAAACAGCTTTTTTTACTTTTTGATCAAAAAGATATATTAAAGGTCAAATACCTGTACTATAGCTTTATAGCATTAATAATCTTTAGGGCATAGAATATATGTACCTGATGCCTGCTGAGTTCTATGCTTCTTTCAAGTTCCATTTTAGCTGCTGCTACTTCTTGTTGATGATTGTGCCTGAGCTGATCAATTGCTGCAGCATGTTGATGATTTAGTTCAGAGCGCAAAGATGCTGAGAAATACAAATAAAGTATTTTAAAAAATACTTCGCAAATAATATTTAAAATTTTTGGTATGTATACATATTATTATCATATAGTTATTACATCATATATTGATGTTTTTTCAAATGGCAGTTTGCCCACTGATTTTCTTACTATTTCCCAGCCATTAGTGGGAAAACCTTCTATAATAAGTGTATCACACCGACATTTGTTAAGAGTCCCACAATTTGTGTCTTCCATATTTATAGTGTTTGCAACCCAGTTTCAATTTATTTTTGTTCTTCCAAATATTTGGTGTTACTCAAGCAAGAAAGTCATTTCAAAATGTGAAGTAAATTTGTTCATATCCAGCACTCATGAATTTGGAAGGAAACTCATAAAGGCAAAATACCAAAATAAAGGATGGCATATTTTTATCTTTCTGCTTTATTCTTATTATCTTAATATTATTAAACTGAAAATATAATTTCCATTTCTGGAAAGAGTGCTCCTTTTTCAGTATCAATCATACTATTTCCTAGGATAGTTACATAACACACACACACACACACACATATATTATGTATGTATGTTTAAAAGACTTACAACTCAATCTTTTGTACCATGCATATTCAAAACAGCAAGCAAATATTTTACAAGCAAATCAGTTACATATTTCAAAAAGAGAAACAAAAACAATCCATAGAAGATAATGATGATAATTATAGCCAATAAAGGAGAATATTTGTAGATCAGGGTTGAAATGAGGGGTCCTTGATGCTCTCTGACCTTGGTTGTTTTCTTTCAGAGGTTTCTGTGCTAGTCCTGATGATGTTACCTAGTTTGGATAATGAAACGTCTGCAAGAAAACAATCAAGCTCAGAGAAATAATAACAAATAACAATAGATAAGCAAATCATACAAGGAAAGTATATTATATAACCGGTGAAAGGATCAAGGAAACAACTCCATTATCTTCCTTTTAAGCCAGTATTCTCTTTTCTTTTTCTAATATTCAATTTGATGATGTTGATCACCACTGCACTTCTTTTAGTAAATTGTTTCTTTGAAATTTTAAATACTGCATTGTATTTTTGCAAACCTTGAGTTTCTCCAATTATGTGGATACTTCCCTCTAATTTTCTATGATCTGATTTTGCTCTATTTCTGTTGAAATGAGGCACTGATATTGATAGTGAAAAAAAGATAAGATATAAAGATAACACTAAAGAAACTGCTATTATCAAAGTTAATGAAAAAGGAGAGACAGGACTGTAGCCCAGAATATGAAAATAGAATACATCTACCTAAAACACCTATGGGAAGTCTTTATTTAGCCAGGCGGAATCTTTTATATAAAATCTCATAGCAGAGTCATCAACTTGATTTAAGAGATGATAAATCATAACAATTGTAAAGACTTGAGTTATAGTATCACATTTATATTATAAATTGTGTGGTATTAATTACCCTTCAAGGAATGCCTTGAGGAACACTGCTATTTTTCATCTTAAAAACCTACATGGTTTCAAGAAGAGATCCAATCTAAAACTAAGGACAGATTTCCTGATAATGAGAACAATTGACCAGTGGAACGGCTTGCCTCTAGAAGTTGTGGGTCCCCCATCACTGGAGATTTTAAAGAAGAGATTGAACAGGCAATTTTCAAGAATGGTATAGGGCCTCCTGCTTGAGCAGAAGGTTGGACTAGAAGACCTCCAAGGTCCCTTCCAACTCTGCTATTCTGTATTCTGTATGTAGGTCCTCCAAACACAGAAAAGTTGCAGGTGACCTAGGGAAGGCTTGTCGATTTCAAAAAGATTGACATTAAAAATCACCAAGAAACCCTAGGACTATAAACTAGCTTGAAAGTCAGAAAAACAACCCATAAGAAGACAATGGCAAACCATTTCTATATTGTTAGTAAAACTAAAGCCAAATTCCTACATGGTTGTGTATCAGGCAGCAAATTATATCTGCCCTCTAAATCAAAGCTTACATTTTAAATTGTGACATGAAAGTACAGTACAGTACCAAGCATTGCTTTCCCTTCGTCTTCCAATTCAAAGCGAAGAGTCTGCACTTCCTGTTCCATTTCTATTTTGAAAACATCCATAGCGTGTCTGTGTACATCTTTCAGTGCCTGAAGTTCTTCGGAATACTTCTGTTGCAAGCGTTCCTCAAGTTCCTATGGGAAGTAAATCAGTATGGGAATATTCTTACAATTAAGCATATAAAATTATCTTCAAGTTTTTTATCTTACAGAACCTTATCTGTAGCTTCCCTATTTTATGCAGTAAATCACTGCACTCAGAATGCCAGTTAGCAAAGTAGTTTGGTTCCAGACAATTGTAGACCAAAATGGGTGAGGGACTCTTGGATGTTCAAAATAAAAATTAAGTATTTAATTAAAATAGTGTTCGTGTTTCTTTTTTGTGGCCTTTCATTTGAAAATGTGTGATATTAACAAGCCCCAATGAACACACCTTTTGCTCTTGTTCTTTTGTTTCTTCCATGCTCTGAAAGGCAAGGAAATGTGCTTCTTTCATGGACTTATGTCTCTGCTGATGCTCTTCCTCCAGTTCTTCAATTTCTTGGGTCAGTCTCTGCCGCTCTTGACTAAACTGTGCCTGCAACTGTTGCATTGTGTTCTGAGACTGTGAAAGCTGCATTTCCAGGTTTTGCTTTAGCAGAGTGATCTAATTCACAGAAAAGCAAAATGACATAGAAATATCAGAATTAAATTCAAATTAAATGTATGCATAGATTTTTTTAAAACTATGATTAATTTTGGAAAAGTACAGAAATCTATAAACATATTACTACTCCACTGAACAACTACAATCCCAGTTGTAGTTTGAGATATGAGAAGCAATGTACAGAAATTTTGTATCTTTTTAAATATCACATGTCTATCTTTTGGCATACGTTGTTTAGTAGCACATTTCTTTTAGCAGACGTTCAGGTATACATTATAACATGAAACAAACATTTATGATAGGAAAGATAGGAGAACTGTTACAAAGATTACTGCTTTGCATTCTATAAACTGCCTCTCCCCAAATGTTTGTGACATTCTCAGATATCTAAAAGTCAAGTTCAAAGCACTCAAGTTTCTTTTAATATCTAAAGCTTGTTAGCAAGAGTTACAGAAAGTCTTCTTAAAAGTAGAAAAAAAATTGTTTCATAAAAACAATAGATGAAAAATCTTCAATACACCTACTTAGGCAGGAATCCTAATGAACTCAGTTGGGTTTACAATGTTATTTTTGAATTCTGGAGTAAATTACTAATATTTTTTAAAGAAATTAAATATCAGACTTTTAGATTACCTCTAGAATTGTTTAGGACATTGAAAAAGAATAATCATATATTATATTTAACATTTCTACTGTTTATTTTGTTCAACTATGGACTAAGGACACCCAGTTTCAAACTGCTACTTAAACATGTTGCTCAGTTCATGACTGTACATCTGGTACTATCTGACAATCAAACATACCTCAAAAGCACATCATGACAGTAAAGCTGCAGAAGTACTATGTACATTGCCTTAAACTCTGGGAGGAAAGATGATACATAATCCCACTAATTTGTAATTCCTTATTTTCATATTATGATTGTGTGGCTTAACCCATACCTTTCTAAATAATTTCCTAGGAATTTCAGTATTAAATTGAGTGATGTGCTAGCCATGCAGAGTAATGTACAGGTCTTACATAGTATTTTCAGGATGGGCAGTTCATGTTAGAGGTTGTGATTTCAAGAAAGTAATAGTACTGTGGTCAAGATCAGAAGGCAGAGCTATACTGCTTTTATATCCAATTGGCATTCTTTCTATTAAAACCTGAATATACACTATGATAGTATGTAATATTCCAATATTACTACCATATCATATTGGTGCTATTGCCTCTCTCTGAATAAGTTCACATAAAGTAATAGTAAAGACCACAGGCACTATCACTAGTTTCATTCATTAACTTTCAAATAACTTAACTGTAGGACAAACTGATTAAATTTAATTCATACGATCAGTGCAAACATTACACTTCATTGGTATATAAATATTTATTATGAAGATCAGAATGCCAAATAGTTACAAGTGTATTTTTTAACACAGATGAACTCACAAATAATTCAGTGAAGGTACAGATACTCTATATATAGATGAAAGAATTAATACACATTAGATTCAGATTTAAGATTTCTATTGTGCTTTCATTTACAAGATAACATAAATGCTAAATGTATTACACCTCTATAAAGTTTTTGAAGGCACTTTGTCAAATGCAATAGTGTGAACAAAGAATCCATCACTGAAATGTTGAGGTAGCAGTATTCTCAGGAGGCTATGGGTACTTCAAGGGCTTTGTCTGTGCATGCAGATCTGCTTTACTTTATCAGCAGTCCCCAAAGAAGTTTTGTCTGGACATACACATGGACAGATCATCTTCCTGAGAACACAGCTGCTTCAACATAACAGATGCACATTGCTTAAGGCAGTGGTTCTCAACCTTTTTAATGCCGCGACCCCAACCGGTCGTAAGTCGAGGACTAAACCGGTCGTAAGTCGAGAACTACCCAACCGGTTGTAAGTCGAGGACTTTCCCTGCCCGGGAGCGCCGCACATGCGTGGTTCTGCCCCCTGCGCCGGCCGAGGCGTAGCTGGCAAGCGGCAGAGACGGAGCAGGCCGACCACCAGCTGGCCCAGCCCAAGGGAGGTAAGGCACCCGCTGGAAAAGGGGGAAAAAATGGCGGACAAAAAAAATGGCGGACAGCCTTGCTTGGTGACCCCCATGAAATGGTCGATCGACCCCAAATGGGGTCCCGACCCACAGGTTGAGAACCACTGGCTTAAGGCAATGTGGAATGCAAATTACCCCCTTGACCTATTTGTGCAGTGGAAAAGCATTTGTAACAAATTCAGTACCTTCTGTTAAGATGTTGGATAAGTGTTTGAGTTTTCTTCCATCAACCTTTTCTCAACCTTTTCTTGTTCATGGCCCAATTCTGAGCTTCATTTATCTCTATGACCCCCCCCCCCATTTCCACTATTAAGATACTTATTATAAACTGCAGTAATATTCAATATCTATATTACTGAAATTAGCACAAAGAATGAGTGTAAGGATTATGACAAATTAGTTATATGTCTGGCAGTTAGATTTGGACGTCTCCCTCAGAAACGTTAATGATGACTCCCTAAAAACACGGCATGGCCCATAGTGAGAATCACTGCACTAGAGCATTTCAGACAGAAGATCATCCAGTTTCTATAGCTGGAAACAATTTTGAGCTAATGGCTCCTCTAGGTTCTTTTTTCTTTGTTTTTATTAAAAAGCCTATCTAATAGCTACAATATATATTATTTAATCAACTGCTGTAACATTTAGAGCAACAGAAAGCTATATAGTTTATATTGGTAGTCCATCATCATTAGTTAAAAAAACTGCATGGCAGAACTAGATAGTTGTCTTGAAGCAAGAAGGAGGAACAAAATCTTTATGTAGTGAAAATTTTCCAAAGTCAAAAAACCTGCAGGGTAAAAGGGTATTCTTTCACCAATCTTGTTTCTCCTTTATTCCCTTGTATATGCATCCTATTGTAAATCTCATTGTTGAACAAAAATGGAAACAATGGGTTTTAAAAATGAGGATTTCTCTTAAATTCTGGATTTTTGTTATGGAGGCCTTTGAAGAAATGGAATCTCTGGAAATTTTCAAGTTAACATCTCTTTAGTAAATGAATCAGGGGGGAAATGATATTGCTTTGTATCAGTAATGGAGAATGTAAGTGAGCTCAGAAATCTTTATTGCTGACTAGTGTTTAAGAATAATAATAATTTTAAAGTTGATAGAAGAGTCTCTAGATTTGTTCAATGAAATAATATCTAATTCTAAAGGGAAGATTATTAGTTAATATTGTTTCATGTAAATTGCATCAAGCTTTTATAGTTATAAGGTTTCAAATTAATCCAATGGAAGTGATCATAGAAAATATGGTCTTACACTTTTTACTGTCTCGTTGATGCCTCTTAAATGCAAACATGTATTTTCCTGGGAAATCGCCTCCTAAAATCTAAAAAATACCTTGGGATGCATAGCTATCTTAGAAAAAATATGGCTTTTAACAGTTGTACTGACAGCTATAGTAAAAGTATGCCCATGCCTAATTTGATGCCTTTTTCCCACTATTTGAGCGCTGAACTTCTAAACACAATGAAATACTAAAATTCTTCACATTGCTTAACAATGTTTACCCCAGGAATCTTTGCTACATTTGCTCTGTTCTACTCTACTCAGCTTAGAACTGAATAAGGCTTTAATAGAAGTCTAATCACACAAATGCCCCATTATTATTTTTTTCTTTGAAAATGATCCATATTCACTTGGTCATTCCACAGCACTAATCAGGATTATACATGAATCATGTTCTTTATAAAACCCCTAATAGCAATGTATTACTAATGAAAACTACATACAGTATTACCATAACAAGCAACATACCTTATACTTAATTAATGGTTTGGTGTAAACAGAAATCCCCCCCCCAAAAAAAATTACATTCAGCCCCTTTAAATGTAAGGATACATTTAATGTGAAATGCAAACATGCATGAAATAAATGATTTAACCAAAGAAACAATTTTATAAATGTATTATTCCCTTTTAAAAAATGAATAGGAACAAGGATTACTAAATTTTGTGAAGCTACATGAAATATTGATGTTTGCCCAGAAATATTCCCAGTGGTACTTTTATATCTGTGAAAAATGCTTTACTCTCACAAGCTTGGCTGCCAAATGTTTGCCAATATCTTTAGCTCTAATCTTTCTGTAGTTTTATATGTCACATCCTAACGAATTTCTCAAGGCCAGTTTTGGGGAGGTAATAAGGTCAAGCAGATTAAACAAATAAGGGAGACTGACAAAAATAGGTATGAAGCATGCAATCTATCAAATTAATTCAACTGGATTAATCAGTGTCGATATTTTGAATACAGGTAGTCTTTGTCTTACAACAGTTCATTTAGTGATCATTCAAAGTTGCAACGGCACTGAAAAAAGTGACTTATGACAGTTTTTCACGCTTCTGAAACCTCCCCATGGTAGTGTGATCAAAATTCAGATGCTTGGCAACTGACTCATATTTATGACGGTTGCAGTGTCCCAGGATCATGTGATCACCTTTTGCAACCTTCTGACAAGCAAAGTCAATGGGGAAGCCAGAGTCACTCAACAACCATATTACTAAGTTAAGAACTGCAGTAATTCACTTAACAACCATAGAAGAAAGGTCATAATATGGGGCAAAATTTACTTAACGACTGTCTCACTTAGCAACATAAATTTTGGGCTGAAATGTGGTCATAAGTTGAAGACTACCTGTACTGACTTTTGGGATAGAAATACATATTTTAATCTTTTTCTTATATGTTTAACTTAACACTTTCCTTTTTTTTAAGCCAGAAGTGTAAATGTATTTAGTGGCTAAAATTACAAAACTATAATATCTTGCCATGGTACTGGAATGTTTATTCTGATTTTGGAACACTACACTGAAAGTGCTATGGGTTTAAAATGGGTCAATTCCAATTTCAATTTCAAGATCCAATTACTTTAAACAATCACTTAGAAGTTGGAACAATTGTTCCAAAGTTTCAGTCACAATCTTTTTTGCCCCATTCTAGTCACAGACATAAACATTAACATAACATTAAGAAATACTACTTTTTTCCAACCTGCAACCCAAACAGTTATTTGCACCGCTTATTGCACGCATACATGTATTGTAATATTTTTGAAACATTTTACTGGAATTGAACATCCATATGACCCAATAGTTTGCTTAAAATTGAAAGTCTGCCAGAATAAAATTTCTTGGTATGTGTATGCTACTTTTAAGCTATATAAAGTCATTATCTCAAAGTGCAAGCCACGATTATAATCTTGTCGAAAATTACAGCCATGGAGATTGCAATCTTATACCTCCTGACCACTGATCTCAAGGTTTCTTATTTCTGAGAAAACATCTATAGGATTGCACCAAACAGGAAAAAAATACCAGACAAATCTATGATACTATAGCTCAAGAGATATTTTGCATTACCAAACTGTGGCATATTAAAGGAAGTTGCCTGTAAAATATTTGCTACAATAATTGAATATCAGAAGTCAAAGATTTATAGTTGTTCATCCATAAATGAGTTGCATTACTTCATGCTTTATAAAAAGGCTATGTAATATGCAAATATATTAGCTGCAAGCTTCTTTTCAGTATATAGAATGACTAATATATGATAGCAAATATGAATACAGACATAATGAATGCAGGTCACAGCGTTTTATGAAAATACGTAATCTCTTTCTAAAAATATTTTAATTATTTTATTTCAAAGGATTAGTTTTTAAAGCAACATTGCCCAGTATGCAAGCTGAAAAGTAGAGGCATGCCCTTGCGTACAAACTGTAAGTGCAATTCACTTACATTGCTGATAGATTTATGCAAAGCTTCACCAAGATAGTGCCGCTATGAAGAAAAGATCACAAGAATAAAGGAAATAATTCAGAAATAACTAAGAAGATGGAATAAAAAAGGGCAGTAAAAGACAGAACATTCATATTGATATGATAAAGGAAATATGTTGAGAAAAACTAATATAGAACAGTTTTGCTATGGTCTTATAAATCTTCTGAATACTTAGAAATATCTAAATCATTTCAGAATTATATGCGATTTCTAAATGAAATTATTTTATCTTTTAGCCCAAATAGTATTCTGCATATTTAATAAATAAATTCCTGAAAAACTGGCAAATATATTTGTTAGCATATCTGTTTATAAATTTGGGAAAAAAAGTTCAGTTATATTTTTCAATACTGAACATATACATTTTTTTACTTCCAAAATAATTTTGCATCATAATTTACTATTACCAATCTCAACTTAATTCATAAAAAAATCTTTCTTTTCTTCTTTAAATATGATTTTTTTTTATATCTACTCCATAGCAAAATTATATTTGAAATTTATTATATACCGCCATTTATTAACAAGCTAAATATGTACTGTCAGCATGTATAAGTGGTACATTACCATATACATTAAATGCAACATGGGTATGAGGACCACACTTGTTAAAATTGAATGATGAATAATTTCACTGTTGGATACATGATTCATTCCCAGTCATTTGTTCTTTCAATCAAATTATTAAGAACCTTAAGATGCTTACTGATCTATGATATACTTCCTAAATTATTAATTAATGTTTTATCAAAATCACAATTTACAAAGAGAACAATTTACTATTAAAATTATGTACGAATCAAACTATTATTTGTAGCTGTCTTGAATCAATCTCATAGGAGTAATTAGCTAATAATAAAATTAACTCAGAAAATCTCAGCCACGACAAAATATTCTAATCCAGAAAAACTATGAGAACTTTGCCAAATGGCAAAACCTGTTTACTTTACTGAAAGTGAAATCATTTTTGACACTATAAGAAGAAGAAACCACAACTCCTTGGTTAACTACGCTGATATACAGTATTTCCAGATACATACTTTAAAGACCAAGTTCAAACTTCATTCAGTATGGCTGCTCATTTTACTGGACATTATATAGTCTACAACCAAGTTTTTTTTCTTAGTGAGGAAAGCATGAACTCTTGCTATTATGCAATGATCTAACAATAGAATCTTACTTTTGTATTGTTGGAAGAATTTCCAATCCTAGGAATTATTGGGATTGTCCTAAAGGATTTCAGAATTAAAATTATGTTTTGCTACTACTTAATTTTAAAATGTGTAAGTAGAACACAGAAATGTACATCCCATATCCTATTTAATCTTAGGGTATATGTCTATTTCTTGGCATTTTAATTTGTGTTCATCTATCTATTGCTATTGTTTTCAATAACTAGCTGTAATGGTTGAAGTTAACTTACTTCTTTCAGAAAAAGAAACACAAAAGGCTTCAATTTGAAATTCTTAAAACATGTGACAGAATAAAAGAAGATAAATGCTTCCTCCAGTGTCTGTTAGCAGAAGAAATGTGTGCATCAGCTAAACATACAGGTAGTCCTCGATTTACAATCATTCATTTAGTGACTGTTCAAAGTTCAGCATCGAAAAAAGTGAAATGGCTGTTTTTCACACTTACGACTGTTGCAGCATCCCTATGGTCACGTGATCAAAATTCAGATGTTTGGTAACTGGCATGTATTTATGACAGTTGCAGGGTCCCAGGATCATGTGATCACCTTTTGTGACCTTTTGATAAACCAAGTCAATGGGGAAGCCAGATTTACTTAAAACCATGTTATTAACTTAACAACTGCAGTGATTCACTTAACCACTGTGGCAAGAAAGTTCATAAAACAGGGCAAAACTCATTTAATAACTGCCTTGCTTAGCAATGGAAATTTTGGGCTCAATTGTGGTTATAAGTCAAGGACTACCTATACTGGAATAAGCTTCCATAAACCCCTTCCTGTCCAAGTACTGTGATTTTTGCAACTCTCTAATTCAGGGGTAGGTGACATCGGCTCTTTTATGACTCATGGACTTCAACTCTCAGAATAGCTATGCTGACTCAGGGATTCTGAGAATTGAAGTCCATGAGTCATAAAAGAGCTGAGGCTGCCTACCCCTGCTCTAATTGAATATATTGATTTATTTTTCTAGAACTTATTAATCTATTTACTGTAGAATATAATATATAATAGAACCCTGCCTGTTTTTTTTAAAGTAACATTATATGTTGGACAGAACTGAATGATGCCATAACCTTTATAGGCAGCATTCTAGTGTGCTGGTTGTATGGCATGTTCCTATTTTTAATAATTTAAAAATATTGAGTCATATATACATACAAGGTCAGAGAAATCTACACATTTTTATCAAATTTAACAAGTATTCTTACCAATTTTTAAGAGGATTAATTTTTGCAACAAAAAAAAATCTCACTTCAATAATCTAAAAGTAAAATTAATTAATAATTTATTAATTATTCTGGTTACCTGATCCAAAAGTTCTTCCACTTTTTTCTGCCAGCTATCTCTGGCGGCATTTTTCTCTCTCTCCTTTAGCTGCAAGAGTTGTGTCATTGCTGACTTTTTATCTTCTTCATGCTGAAGTCTCAATTCCTCTCTAAGTTTTGTACATTCCTGCCTAAAAAAAAAAAAAAAAAAAAAAAAGGCAAAGCTAAAACTTATTCTACTATTTAAAACATTGTAGAAGCCTTGTTGAAATCCACAGTCTTGGTCAAAACATTATTGTATTAAGCTCTATATATTTGTTCCTTTGAATCGGTTATTGACTCTTGGCGACTACCTGGACTAGTCCCTACAGTTTTCTTCACAAGATTTTCTAAAATGGTTTGCCATTGCCTTTGAGTTAAGAGAAAGCGAATGACCCAAAGTCATTCAACAGGCTTCATGCCTAAGGCAGGAGTAGAACTCAGGGTCTCCTGGTATCTAGCCAGATGCCTTACCTACTGCATCAAATTAGCTCCTATTTATTAAGATACACATTTCTTTAAAAGAGAAAATAAGTGGAAATAATACTTGCCGAAGATTTTCTGTCCATTTTATTTCCAGATCACGAGCCATTCTATCGAGTTTTAATTTTTCCTCTTCCCTCATGGTTACAATCATTGCTTCATGGTGCTGTCTCTCCTGGTTTAACTCCCCCTTAAAATAAAAAAAATCTATAACAATATTATGCTAAGAAATAACATTAACGCATTTCAAAATGCAGAATTTTAAGTATTTTTACATTAACATGGCTGCCCATTTCCTACAAAGTAACTCTACATAGCATACAATTAAATAAAACAGCATATAAATAGAATAAAACATGATAAAGGATAAAATGTAATTGTTAAAATGAGACCATTATAGAAAAAAATAAATACACAAATACCACAGAGAAAGGAAGACTATCAATCATAGTGGAGCTATCTAAGAATGTCTCCAGTTCTCAAAGATCCCCAGGACTGGTGCCATCCCAGATGGCATCCCATCCCAAAATGGCATAGCTCTAGAACAAGTAGGACCCCAAACCCAAACCCTACTGTGCTCCATACAGTCCTTCACAAACTCTGGACACTAAGATATTCACCACCTTACTTAATTTGCCAAGAGCAGAGATGTATAGTTGGGTATACATCTATACCCATGGTCATGGATGAGCTCATCCATTGGCTTCATGTAGATATTAGAAGGGAGATCACCGAAGCCTGTCTATAATTATAACAACAGTTTTGCAAAATATTGTTATGTATATAAGACAGACCTTTACCCATAGCTCAACCAGTAGTTGACCTATATATGGAAGATAACAATATTTGCTAAATGAAGCCTAGCTTGACCATCATCTTATGGTCAATTAGCAAATCCACAAGCAGAAGATGAAAGCAACACTTTCATTTGCTTCTGCTAGCTGGTACAATGGTATATCTATTATAAACCCTGAGGTTGCAAATAATTGTATTAGCAAGCATTATTTAATAGAGAATTTCCCTTAATTTGTCTAATACCCTTTTAAACAAGCTGAAAACCATTGTCATATTAAATAAATTAAATAAAAGATTTCTCCATATATGATAGAATTCTGCATTTACCTCAACATTATACAAGGAGTCAGTGGCTTCTCTCAGTTTTGTCTGGGTTAATTCTAATTCTTTTTGCAATATTTCTTGGGTTTCCTGAAGGCTAGAAATGTGTCCTTCTGCAGTACTAAGGCCCTGCTCACTTTTTTTTAAGACATCCTGTAGATGCTCCACCTATAATACAGAAAGAAAATAATGTAAGTTTGTTAAAAAAAGAAATCAGATTTGTGTTTGATGAATGTATATTCAGATTCTCAGAAATTATCTTATGTTTTCAATCTTCATTTTCATCTACTGAACCCAAAATTAACTAATTGTTCTTAAATCATATAAAACAAACGAAGAGATAATATATCTCTAACATTCATTTCCATTATCCATTTAGAAGAACTAAACACATACAACATTATGTATATGTTAAGTGATGCTGGCAAAAAATAACATATTTTTTACCAGCATATGTTCTGATAGAAAATACTGTGAAAAGTTGTATCAAGATCTGAGGGAAGAAATGAGGGAATAATCCTCCCCAAAAGAAGTCCAATGATAATAGTGCCTAGCCAGAAAGCATATAATGTTGACCGCATTTGACAGCAGAAATTAATCTGTAATCTATATGCATGTGCATATATGTGTATAACACTCAGAATCCAAATCAGTGGTTAATATTATCACTTGTGATATTGAATTCCATATGTAAAATAGTATTGAATGGGTAGCCTATTAGTCTTGTTAGTGATCTAAAATTCTAGCACTAAAAGAACACATTTCTTTCACCATAGTTTATAAAATATGCACCATGAATAAAATATATATAAAAAAATATTTACAGAATTGTTCTCTTAGCCAGAAAGAAGCAGAACAGAATGAATCCAAGTCTAAAATACCAATTAAGAAAAAACATTAATAATTAAACATAGTTGAATGCACACAGCTTTTTGGTAATATGATTGTGTTGATTCTTACCTCCTGATTGGAGGAAGTCAATTTGGTTGTCAGTTCTTCCCTTAGGCTTGCCAACTGCTGTCGGAGTTGATTCTTCTCATCTTCAAAACCTTGTTTCTCTTTCTCAAATTGCTGCTCCAGCTCCTTAAAAAACAAAACAAGGCAGAAAAATGTTAAGTCTTCTGCTGTTTATTGATTATATTCTTCAAAAATATTGCTGAACGACTTATATTCTGCTTTCTTACTCAATCTCCCATATAATCCAGAAATGGGCTTCAGAGAGCAAATGAATCTAAGGCAGTCCTCTCTAGATAACCTTAAAGCCTAGAAGGATTGGGATTGATAATTCATAGTCAAGACCACATTACACCTCTGCTGCATGAAGTACTCTGACTTCTAGTTTCTTTCTGGATGCAATTCAAAGTATTGGTTATCACCTTTAAGGCCCTGTATGGTACAAGACCAGGCTATATGTAGGACTATCTCTCTCCGTAGTGGTACATTTCTACCATGTCAAACAGGGCAGGTGAGCTCCTTATCTCTTTCCTCAACTGTTGCCATCTGGTGGACTAGAAAGCACAACATCTCTGTAGAACCTCCTGCCCTGTGGAACATCCTCCCCCACGACCTCTAGCAGGCCCCCATCCTTCTCTCCTTCTAGAAAGCCTTGAAAAAAGGACTCTTCCCTCAAGGGTGATGGTGGAGCCTGATTAATCTAAATATTGCTATACAATAGTCCTTGACTTATGATAACAATTGGAACTGAAATTTCTATAGTAAATCATTGTGGTCAGACCCAATTTTATGATAATTTTTATGGCAGTTGTTAAGTGAAATCACTTTTTTTTGTTGGAAATTGGCAAAAAAGATCACAAATCATGATAACATGACCACAGGACACTTCAATCGGTTGTAAATGTGACCAGGTCGCCAAGCATCCCAACTGAAATCATGTGACCACTGAGGATGTGACTTTCATAAGCACAAGTATGAGTTATAAATCACTTTTTTCTGAGGCCACCATAACTTTGTACCATCATTAAGTGAATGGTCATCAGTCAAGGGCTACTTGTATGGAGAAGTGCTTGCTTTGGGCTACCAGGAGTTTTGGTGCTGGTTTCATTGTCTGTGTTTTTATTGCTCTTTCAATGGGTTGACCAGGGTTATGGTACATAGGAAGGGTGGCCATATAAGTCATTTAAATTAAATAAAATCAAGTTTTATCAAAAATATGGATAACTACTGCCATGTTCATTCAGTTCAGTAATTTCACAGCTGGAGCATTAGACCTAAATCTACAGGTAGATGGGTTGGGCAAACTGCAGCTTAATAAAAGAAGCTGCCAAATCTCCCCCATTTTTTTTACTTTTTAGTGTTTTAATATGAAGTAGTATGTAGGAAGATTTAGTGGATAAGCTTATTTAGAGGGAAGTGTGTAGTGGGAAGGGAAGTGTGTAGTAGGGTGCCCCAGGGCTCTGTTCTGGGCCCAGTGCTCTTCAACATCTTCATTAATGATTTGGATGAGGGGATAGATGGGAACTCATCAAATTTGCAGACGACACCAAGCTGGTAGGAGTAGCCAACACTCCCAGAAGACAGGCTTAAGATACAGAAGGATCTTGACAGACTTGAACACTGGGCGCTATCTAACAAAATGAAATTCAATGGTGAAAAAAGTAAGGTTCTACATTTAGGCAAGAAAAACCAAATGTACAGCATAGTATAGGTGGTACCTCACTCCATAGTAGTAACTGTGAGAGGGATCTTGGAGTCCTAGTGAACAAACACTTAAATATGAGCCAGCAGTGTGCTGCAGCTGCCAAAAAAGCCAACAGTGCTAGGCTGCATTAACAAAGGGATAGAATCAAGATCACGTGAAGTGTTAATACCACTTTACAATGCCTTGGTTAAGGCCACACTTGGAATACTGCATCCAGTTTTGGTCACCACAATGTAAAAAAGATGTTGAGACTTAGAAAAAAGTACAGAAAAGAGCAACAAAGATGATTAGGGGACTGGAGGCTAAAACATATAAGAAACAGTTGCTGGTATTGGGTATGTACAGTTTAATGAAGAGAAGCACGAGGGTGACATGATAGCAGGGTTCCAATATCTCGGGGGGTGCCACAAAGAAGAGGGAGTTAAGCTATTCTCCAAAGCACCTGATGGCAGGACAAGAAGCAATGGATGGAAACTAACCAAAGAGAGAAGCAACCTAGAACTAAGGAGAAATTTCCTGACAGTTAGAACAATTAATCAATGGAACAACCTGCCTCCAGAAGCTGTGAATGCTCCAACACTGGAAGTTTTTAAGGAGAGACTGGACAGCCATTTGTCTGAAATGGTATAGGGTTTCCTGCCTGAGCAGGGGGTTGGACTAGATGACCTCCAAGGTCCCTTCTAGCATCATCATCATCATCATCATCATCATCATCAAAAAAGTTTTTGACAAAATCCCTCACCAAAGTTTCTTCAGTAATCTTAGTTAAATGAATGAGTTACCTATTTTCTCTTTGGATATCACACATGAAACACAGAGCAGGAATAAATGGCAGTTAATTTGTTTAGAAGTAGGACCATTCTCATAGTGATGGATTTTTTTTGATGCCTTGTTTTCTTCATGTAATTAAAATTGAGACGACTGCTGCATGTTGTTATAGTAAAACAGGAACAATCATAGCAATTTATTTTTCTCTTACCATTTGCAGTTTCTTTTTTTCCTTGCTAGCATTGTTATGTGCTGCTTCAAGAGCAGTATTATGTTTCCATGCCAACTCCTCCAAAGCCTTGGAATGAACTTCTTTTAGCTGCGTAGTCTCTCCTTCTAGTTTAACTTGCAATTTCATTAGCTCCTTTTCATAATATTCTTGTTGTGTTTCCCTTGCTTCATTTACTCTCTTTAATTTAAACAATACAACTTAGAATCAAAATCAGATAAATGTATTTTGAAAACCATATGCTCTTGAGTTCATTACACTTCAGGTGCCATTGTGGTTTTGTCCTATGCATGCAATATCTAAGCTATATCATAGTTTAGATATTAATGATGTGGGAATGATAAGGCAATCAAGCCTTCAGATTCTCTCTTTCAGATGACCTAAACATAGGAGCTCACTTAATATAGAACTAGATATGAATCTTTATTACACATTTAAGCAGCCTTCAGCTTAAATGAGGATGCAAGCCTTTTGTATTCTGTAGTACAAATCTGGCACTTTTTCTCCTGCCTTTTCCACATATTAATGAAACCTTATTTCTCTCATTTAGTGGAAGGTGGTAGTTATTGGCGTATTTAGCATCCTTGTCCTGATTAACTGTAACTCCCAAAATATTTCTAACAGCTTGTAGGTTAATCAGTTATGCAATAGCAGTTGTAAGTTATACCAGATATTGAGTATTAAGAAACTGGTAATGAACGCCTTGTGCAACTAATGCTTACAATAATGAAATAGCTTGAATTGTATAATATGTTGTGCAAGCAGACTTCAAGATACTAGTTCTTATGTACCAAGATCAAAATGGTGTCCTTTCAAGCAATGCAGCTTTTATGCAAGTGAAGTGACACTTTTGAATATTAAGGTTTTTCTTTTAAAAAAAAACATGGAGGCCATTCAAAAAGAGAGAACAAATAGTTTTCATATTTACATAAAATCTACACAATATGAGTTTTTATTTGTAACCCACCCATGAATATTTTACCTTCTCCAGTATAAGAAGTTGCTGCCTTTGTCTTTCATCCAGACTTTGTGTTTTACTGTGTAACACATTTCTTTCCTCTTCCAGCTGAGACAATTTCTCCTTTAATCTGGATTTTTCTGATTCCAAATCAGATATTGTAACTTCCTGAGTCATTTGAGTAGCTTGGAGCATTCCAACATGACCTGTAAAAATGAAGCGTTAAGTATTCCCGGAATATTAATATTTGTACTTGAATGGCTTCTCATACTGGCCTGGTTCACATTATGTACCAAGCTATAAGGTGGCTGGTTTTGACTTACTGGGTTGTAAGAATATAAACCACAGATGATAACTCCAGGTATTGTATGAATCCAGGCATTAATTTATTCAGTGAACAATGGTTATACAGACTTTGGCTTAATCCCACTCATTATGGGGACAAATTTGAAACAGGAGATATTCTGGAATGCCTCACTATAATATCATTCAATGTTAGACTTGATTCATTGACCAGAAGTACAATACTAGGCAGGCTGAAATCTGAAGGAAGGTTATTTTGCTCCTTTTTGTACATATTTTCATGGTTTAGCTCTTGATCTCCTACTATGATGCTACTTGTTTCATAATAAGAGAATTAGTGAATAAAGCTCCTCATAAAAACAGATGTTTTTAAAAAGAATTAATTCTAGTTACAATACCATATTATCTCAGACAAAATTGCAATCAGATACACGTAGAAGCAAAAATATTTCAGTTCACCTTCCACCAGCACTATCCCAACTCCACGAAGTATTTCTATGATGTTATCACATAGACCTTCCATGATTTAAAGTTGAATTGCTTGTCTTAAATTAGACTGCCTGATTTTTTTGTACCTTTAAAATGTTTGAAGCATAGTTATTTATAATATATGGATTTATATCTTTTATTATAGACATTTATTTTTTCTACAATGCTACTATTAAGCAGTTTTTCAAAATAGTAATAAATAATCTGAAAGTAACTATATATATTGTGAAAAATATATATTTTGCTATTATTTGCTAAACAAAATTGTGTTAGCTGGACAGGAGATAGAAATGCTTATCTTTATAATAGACTGCTTATTTATTAGGTTTCCCATACAATGCAAACCAAACTCTGCTCAAAAAATGTTGTAAAAGTAAGGTACTATCAAAAAGAAATACTTCTCTGGTTTGTTATATACCACACTTTTTTTAAAAAAAATATCAATGTCTATATAATTGGAAACACATTAAGGCAGGGATGTCAAACTACAGGCCCGCGTCATGCCAAAACTGCGCCTACCCTATTGCCGGCAATGGAAAAAAAGTCACGATATGTCGCGACACATCAGGTGATGTTGCGAATTTGACATCCCTGCATTAAGAGTTTTATCAAGAGTTTTAGTTTCATTTTTAGAAAAATTGTGTCAAAATGACTTAAATCTTTTTCAGAATTTAAGTGTAATGAGGCAGCTATCTTAAGCAGCCGATCCTAGGAAACAGTGGTGAGATGCTGAAAGACGGATGTACGGACATTTTGCAGACATTATGCATCATCTGAATTCCCCTTGTTTCCTCAGTTGGGGTGGAATACAGTGTCTATTTCCAATATCTTCAATTGTCAAAACAAATAAAATAGAGAAATGCCCAATATAACATATTAAGGGTAAAAAGGTAAAGGATCCTTTACTCCAGGCATGTCAAACTCGTGAGTCATGTGACGTCGCACGACATATTGTGACTTTTTCCCCATTGCCGGCAATGAGGTAGGCGCGGTTTCGTGATGCATCCGGCCCGCAGGCCAGCAGTTTGACATGCCTGCTTTACTCAGTTACTTAAGACAAAGGTTGAAAACCTGTGCTCCTTTGCATGTTAATAATACCCATAATCTGCCAGTTCTAGCTTTGTTAGCTGGAACAGATGAGAGCAGTATCCAACATCAATATTAGCTGAGTGATGTGCAGAGCTAATAAAGAACAAAACACTACAGCGTGTGACTACAGCAAAATTCACAGTGAACCTTATAGTTTTTCACATAAGAAGTCAGATGTGGGATAATAATTTGAATGAAACATGATATATCATTTCATGTACAAAATTTAAAAAAGAGAACTAGGCCATTGTAATAGTCAGATGATAGATACTAAGTCATAATTATTTTAGCTGGGATATTTTGTTCAAATGGACTCTTTAAATATTCATTTTTGCATGTTATATTTAAATCAACTACACTTAATTCTTAGTTCTTCATAACACATTTTATAAGTATTTTGTAAAATTCAAACTATAAAATATTTCCAGAAAAACATGAAAAATAATTCCATGGGCTTACAATTCAGATTTAACTGTCAGACCATGCTTCCCCAAATTGGATTAATATTGCCAACATTTCTGTAGGGAGGACATTGGCTAAGTAAGGCTTACGTCATAAGACTGCAATCATCTGCATATTTGCTAGTAATAAGCCTTACTGAATAATGAACCCTACAGATTCTGCTGGATCTGATATTTTGCCTAAGCAATGAAAACAGAGACTGAAAAAAATAAAATTATTTTTAATAAAAATAAGAAATAAAGATACTTTTGTATGAAAAAGTTAGCATTTGTCTTATGCATCAAATGTTATCTAGAAACAAACATTCTAACAACAATAACTTAAAATGGATTATATACAAAGTAATAGAAACATACACACATACTAGCTTTTAGCACTAGGTCTGTGGCTTGTTGTTGTAAGCGCTCTCTTGCAGCTGCTAACTCAATTTCAACCTCTTTGTGTTTGCTTAACAATGACATTTCTTCCTCTTTGACATCATCTAGTTGTTTTTGAAGAGTCTAAGAGAACAGAGAAAATACAATAAAACTGTATTGTAAATCTAAGAGTTGAACATAGAGGGATATTACCACTATACAGAACAAAGATTCTGTAACTTCCTTGTTTATGTATATTTGCATTCATTTTGTCTGTTCTGAAATTTCCATAAGTTCTATATGACTTTTGCATAGAAGTCTGACAAATATATGCCTACACTTTCACTTTTGGTAACAAAGATATTCTGGTAAATGTGCATGACTTATATTATTCACAATAGTACATAATTATCTGTGATTTATTAGTGAAAAACGAGTGCATATGTACTACATAGTGAATTGGACCTAAGAACTATGATTAAAAGTAAAACATTTAATAACACTAATCTGCATCAAATTGAAAAAATACATGAAATGTTATGTCAATTCTAAAGCAGTTGCTATGTTTAACGTTAGGCCAGAGATTATGCAAGATTTTATTTAAATAGAAAAAAAACTGGATTTATTTCATTTTTATGATATTGCCGTTTAGAGGAATATTTTCTTCAAATCTGGGCTGTGTTTTAGTCATAAAAACCTGTATGAGGGCCATTTAAAATAAAATATTGTGTGGAATATGATAAATGTCCCTCCACTAGCAAACTAATTTCATATGCAAAAGAAGGGGAAAAAAATTTCAACAGTTTTCCACCTTTCTATGTAACCCTACTACAATCTCTTACCCAGAATAATCTCATCCAATGCAAAGCTGATAGATACAAAGGGAGGATAAATTGCTGAAAATACAGCAATTTTATTCTATTGACAGAATAAAAAGCTGTATTACACTTTGTAATTGTAATATTATAAAATTTTATAATTTTATCATTATATTATAAAAGAAATACACTGAAAGAATAAATTATAAAAAGATTAGTTAATATCAAAATTCCAAAAGCTGTTGGATAAATCAAATAGGTTCATTAAAAGAGAATTCCTTAAAACAGAATTTCACAGTCTTTGTGAAGTGTCAAAAAGGCCTCATATAATATAGTTACTAAGTAATGATATATTAAAAAAAAATGCTAAGGATATTTTGACAAGTTATACTAAATATTCCAATAATATTGTAGATAGGTTAGCATTTTGCCCTAAGGAAAAACTCATTTAAAATTTGAAATAAATGTTAATTAGAATAGATATTAAAAGATTTCCATTAAAAATGAAAATCTATTAAAAGAACCCATGACAATTTAAAATGCAGCTTAGAAGCAAGATTGAAACCAATTAATAAATATGTTACTGATTACAAATCAGAATTATATACTGTTTTGATCATTTCTTCAGGCTGTGTTAGATGACAACAAGGTAAAACGTATAAGTGCTTAAAATGCAAGATGAGAGTGAAAATACCATTGGGCAAAAATTAACATTTAGCACAATATTCTTTCCCACATTTCCAAGTATAAAATACTTAAAATTGCTCAATATTGTAGAAAGAAAAGCAAATGAATTGTGTAGATAAATAGCAATAGCACTTAGACTTATATACTGCCTCATAATGCTTTACACCCACACTGGCTGGTTTACAAAGTCAGCATATTGTCCCTAACAATCTGAGTCCTCATTTTACCAACCTCAAAAGGACAGAAGGGTTGAGCCCTGTCAGGTTCAAACTCCAGGTTGTGGGCAGAGTTTGCCTGCAATACTGCATTCTAACCACTGCACTATCAGAACTCCTTATTTTAAAATAAACTATACAGGTAATACTTGACTATGACCATTCGTTTAACAATAGTTCAAAATTACAATGGTCTTGGAAAAAATGACCTACAACCTGTCCTAGAAGTTATGACCATCACACCACCCCTGTGGTCATGTGATCACAATTCAGGTGCTTGGTAACCATGTAGCATTTACGATGGTTGCAGGTCGTGCTGTCATGTGATCACAATTTGCAATCTTTCCAACCTGGTTCCAACAAGCAAAGTCAATTGCTGAAGTTGGATTTACTTACTTGACTATGTGACACAAAGAATCAGAACAATGCATTAAATTGCAGTTCAACCTTTATTGCTCAAGGCTACACACAAGAATCTAGCTAACAAAATTCAACACTAAATGGGCACCAGATAACAATCAGCACCAGATAACAATCAATGACTTCAAGAGGGATTGAATTTAGGCTGTTTGTGGGAACGTAATGACTCTAGGAGGATGATTCGTTTAACTCCATCTCCCAGCTCTGCCTGCTCTTCTCCTACTATGATTCACTTAACCACCAAGTGATTCATTAATTACCATAGTAGTTTGATTCACTTAATAACTGTGATAAAAATGGTCATAAAATCAGGTCTGGTCACATAATGACTCTCTTTATGACTGCACCAACTTATGACAGAATTTCCAAACCTAAATCTGGTCATAAGTTGAACACTACCTTTATACACATTCTATATCATAGCAATAACAATGCAAACAGGCACAGAGACCACTCAAAGGACCTCAGTTATAGTTAGGGAATCTGTATGTGCTGGAATTTCAAGTAGCTATTTATTTCTTTACAGCCTATATTTTCCCTAGGTGTCAGGTCCAAACAACCAACGGTTACTTCTAAGTAGTTTCTTTATTATTGCTTGCCTAAAAACAAATTCTTGCCAGATGAAAACAACTATCTGCAATAACCAAAACATACTCCATGAATTACTAGGGAAGGTCTGACCTTGCTCTCTTCCTACCAGCAGACATTCCGAATTCTGCTGTCTCTTTGCCCTCTGGGAAAGAGCTCTTGCTTCCTGTGACTCCTGACTATACTTCTACATCTCAGGGCAATATACAGGGGATTTTATTCTGTAAGCAAGCTGTCTGCCAGGGAATGACAGGCTAAAATCACTCAGTAAATTAAAAGAATTTAATTCTTAAAATGTGACGAAATGTTAGTAACTGAACTACAGGAAATAGAAATGCATTTAATGATGTAATTAATATATACTAGGGCTGTGTAGGGCTTTAGATTTGAAGGCAAACAGGTATCCTGGAATATGCATGGTCCTCATTTAGATCTGTCTGCAACTCTTAAATGAAATGCATCATTTTCCAGGATTCTGCAGCTACAGCAAGCTGCTTTAAAAAGTTGCAGAAAGATAGGTAATGTAAAAAATAAGCAATATGAATCTCTAAAAACAGAATTTTAAATTTAGGGATAGGAAAAGAATAAAAAGTGATATTCAATATTATTGGTACAAAATAGTTAATACAGATAAATTATTCCTCCCCTTTGTGGCCATTTGTGCATACATACGTATTTTCAAGGTATACAAGGTATACAATGTGAACCTATTGTAAACCAAAGAAATTAAAGGTATGAAATAAGAAAAAGGAGAGCAAATATAGCTAAAACTAGTATATGCCTTTACTATACTACTCCATATCTTTCTCTCCTTGCAAACCATTCTTGCTTTTACCTTGATTTTACACTGCCTAATACTCTACTTTGTTCTATAACTTATCCTTTTTTCAGAATTTCATCAACTCCATCCAGCCATGACTTTTTCAGTTTTCCTCTATTTCTAATTTAGTCGCTCTTTCCTCATCAGCCAGTGTGATTGTGGGATAGTGCTAGGGAGACCCATATTCAAACTAGGGAGACCCATCTTCAAACACAGCAGGCCTGACTTTTGGTAATTCAATGTCTATTTCTACTGCATCCAAATTATTTTTATACTTTTCCCGACACACTTAGCTCTTTCTACTATATAACAAAGTGGGGTGTTTGCATACTATTATATGCAGTCATTTTCACTTCTTTCAACATTAACATATATTATTTTCAGAAGAGAAAAAACACTACCCATTGTTTCAAACTAGCATTTGCATGTAAAAATTCTCCATCTTTACTAAATATTCTACCAAATATATATATATTCATCTACTTGATATATTTTTATTTATATACAATTCACTATAGCTCTTTTTGTCCTATCAAATATAACATCCTTGGTCTTTGATATACTGATTTTTACATGCATGCTATTTATTGCATTAAAAAATCTAAAAGCTTTTTAGATTTCAACCAACATGGAACAATCTGCATATCAAAATACAAATACACATTTACGCAGTTAATACATCTCACCACAAACATTCATTATATATTTTATCCACAAATCCATTAAATAAACAAAAGAAGACTAAACATCCTTGTCTTACTTTGTTGGCTAGTACTGAACCATTTGCAAAATATTATTTTTATACCTGTTATTTTTAGTGCATTCAGCAATCAATGGTTGATTCTGTATTCATGTAATATTGCCACAATTCAGGCCTATTCACTGCATCATATGCTTTCTCTAAATCAACAAATGTACATAAACTTTCTCTTATTCATGCATTTCTTAGTATCTTTCTAAAGAGCAAAAATCTAGTCTACACACATTGCCTACACATTACATTAGTCTACATATCCTACACACAGTACTTCACAGCTTTTACCCATTGTCACATTTTATAACTTTCAATCATAATTCTTCCAAGCATCTTTCCAGTTAGCCTTAATAAAATTTGCTGTTTTCCTTTGTATTAGTGAACTATGAACAGCCTTCCTCCAATTGTCAGGTACAGATACAAACTTTACATCTTTAGAAAAATCACAGTCATTCCATAAACATAACACATCCATATTGTAACTTTTATCCGATTCGGTATTTAGTGTTTTTATTTGGTAAGCATTTTCAGTTCCATTCTTCAACATGCCATTATTATTTCCATAGAAAAATATCTATTCCAAGAAAAAATAGGAAAAGATATGGACAATACAATTACAACCTTAATTTTAACAATAAAATAACATTTTGATCTGGGCAAATGTGCATATGTATGTGTACATATACATACACTAACATTTCAACTTCCATCAGAGAAGATGCCCACGTAAGAAGACCTGAGCACATAAAGGAAAATGTGGAATATACAGTACATGCAATAAATAACAATAATTACATAAAAGTTCCAGATGTAGTGAGGGAAAATCTACTCCTTCACTTAGATTAGAGAAATAAGACTTTCCCCACTTGCTTTCTTCTACTGCGGCCTCTTAAGCCACTCCTTTAGCTCAGTAGATGTTATAAAACAGAACAGAATGTTTATTGGCTCCTGCAGGGAAGGGAAAGGATATTAGAACCAAAATTGCTTCTGCAATGAGCTCTAAAAATCTAAGCCATTAATTTTAACAGAACACTAACTATTTCAGTTGCCTTTGGCCTTCACTATTAGAAGAAAAGCTACTGCAGTTTTATACAGAAAAGCAAACTTTGTCACAGCTCTAAATAAAATAGGAAGAAATTACTTGGTCTGGCAATCTATTGCAGGTAAACTAATCTGATTTTACACCCAGCTGAGCAACCTGAAACTTCATCAACATCATTCTAACAACTGTATTTATTTATTGTTAAAGAAACAGCATAAGAATAATCATCTCACCTGCACACTGTTTTCTGAGGTACTTAGAGCCACTTGAAGCTTCTGGCATTTTTCTCGAAGAGCCCCTGCTTCATCCTGAGCCATTTGCAACTCAGTTTTAAGTTTCCCCAGATTTTTTCGTATAACTGATTCTTGACTCTGAAATTCCTTTCTTAGTTCTACTTCCTTTTCTTTGCAGGATTTCAGGCTTTCGGCTGTAAACAATTGTGATCTTTTCATAGTATCAAGTTCATGTTCATAGAAAGATTGAGCTTTGCTGAGTTTACCTTCATACTCCTCAATAAGTTTTTTTCTTTCTATTCTTAGCTCTTCTATTTTAGCATTCAACTGTTCCACATCCTGCCTATGCAATTCTTCTATTTTTTCCTGACCTTTGCTTAAAGTAACATTTTGATTTTGATGTGTCTTCATAAGTTCTTGGACCTCAAGTCTATGTGCAGCTTTCAGCTCTTCCAGAGCTGAACGTTTATCTTTCTCAAATTGTAACTGCTGTTGTATAAAACTTCGTAATCTTTCCTCAAATTTCTTTCTAATTTCTTCCACTTCACGTGACATAGTTACAACACGCTGGACATGCTGAGCTTCTGCACAGAGTTGCATATCCTCAACTCTGTCCTTATAAGCCTCAAATTCAGTTAAGGCTTGATGCTTCATCTTTTTGTGATCTTCTAACGACTCTTCTAAAACCTGGATTTTTCTTTTTAGATCCATTTCTTCAGAAACTTTACCCTTATATTGCAAAATCTTTTCTCTGGTTTCTGCAAGAATTTGTTGAATTTCTTCTTCGTGAGCATCCTTGAGAGCTTGCATAGCAACTTCATGCTCATCATTTTTTGTGTTCAAAGCATATATTACCTGTATATAGGAAAATATAAAAATATATATTTTCTTATACATTATTTCAAAACAATACAATATGAGAAACTGTATGGTGAAGTTCAGAATAACACAAAAATATATTAATACACAACAAGATTAATGGCTATTTTCTAATTAAAATATCATGGGCAGCAAAATTAACTACGTTAAAATGTAATATATTAAATATGTGGTATTGTTTCCTAAGTCTGTGTGCTACAGCTGCTAAATTACACATACATTGAGAAAGCACCTTTAAGCCTATGTATGTACTTGAACTAGAAAGGAAAAAAAAAAAAGCATTCTCCATAGATCAGGTCTGGGACAGAGACTGGCCAGAAGTCAAGATCGAGACTTCTCTATGATGCAAATCCTATGAACTATCTAAGCAGAAAACTAACAATTAAACATTATATATTTATCTTTTTATCTGGCCATCTGATTTCCAAATGACTCTGAAGGACCTGCAACTAAGAACTAATATATACTAAAAAGCATATAAAAGATACAACAGACTGGAAGAGCAATGTATCCAAAGCAAAACCAAAATAAAACAAACAGGCAAAGAAAGAAAAGACAATCACCTTGTCTCCCAACATCTGGGAGAACAAGGTTTTGAATAGTTTCCTTGAACAACATAATGGGGAAGGGGAGCCACACAGATCTCTGGGGGAGGGGGTGTCATTCCATAGGGCGGGAACTGTAACTGTGTTGGTGTATGTTCTGAGTTCCACAAAATGTTATTTAATTGACAGGACTTGAGAGCATCTACCTTGCTAGACTGTACAAGTGGGCAGAGATGACTGGAACTAGGTGGTTCCAGGCCCTAGGGCAGGGGTAGGCAACCTTGGCTCTTTTATGACTCGTGGACTTCAACTCCCAGAATTCCTGAGCCAGCATGGCTGGCTCAGGAATTCTGGGAGTTGAAGTCCACGAGTCATAAAAGAGCCAAGGTTGCCTACCCCTGCCCTAGGGGGCTTCAAAGGTGATAACCACTATCTTGAATTGCACCCAGGAGCCGAAAAATATAGCCACTCAATCTTGTAAGGATTGATCACAAGTCTGCTTCTGCATTTCTCCTCTGGCAATATATAATCATACCAACCTAATAAAATATTTGGTTTCTTAGTCTTCAGAGGCATCAATTACCATGTTTATTACATCTCATCCTTCTGCCACAAGGTTTCAGATAATTTAATATTATAACAGATGATATAAGTTAACCTACAGAATACTACAGGAACTTGCCTAGAACATTCAGTGTACTTCCTGCAGGAGAATAACATAACCCAAGAGGGCCACTTGCACTTTTTTTACAGCTCAAACAGCCACTGCCCCATTCCTCAAGGTTGTGTAAAATTGGTAAATCCAGTGGAAGGACTGGTGTTTATTAGCCCTGTTAGTCTCTCATCAGTGATGTTTCTAGGTCTTCAACACATTTGAATTCATATTAAGAAAATTATGAGAGAGAATGAATGAAAGAGCAATTTAAATGGGGAACAGTGGAGTAAAGGGGTATGTGACCAAATACCCATATCTGACATAGTGGTTTATTTTAAAAAATCAGAAAAATGAATCATATTGTAGATATGCATCGCAATATCCGCAGATGAAAATACATAGTGAAAATCTATTTTAACAGACTGGTAGTCCTCACTTAATAACCCTAACTGGGACTGGCAAATCTACTATTAAGCAAAGTGGTCACTAAGTAGGAAACCACACGATGATGATTGTATTTTTTGGTTGGAAAGAGACAAGACTAGTTAATTTATAATTAACGTCTGTGAGTTATAGAATCAAACTATAATGCTGAGGTTCTCTTGCATAAAAAGATTTTCTCCTTTCTTACACACTGCAGTGAGTGTGGGGTCTGCTGCCTATTTATATGTATTAATCTACCTTACCAGGTTTGGTGGGGATATAGTTTCCTCCATGGTGGTTCTTGCATTCTTGTTTTCTGCTTGACTGTTTGTCTGGTGCTAATCTCAGCTTATCTGAATGTTAGCTGCTGAAGGAGATGTGTACTAGTCTTTTTGTTTTCTTCCTAGATTTTGTTATTGTCTCTTTTGAATAATGCGTAAAGGTAAAGATCTCCCCTGTCCAGTCATGTCCAACTCTAGGGGGGGGGTGCTCATCCCCATTTCTTAACCGAGGGAGCCAGAGGTTTCCAAAGACATTTCCCTGGCAATGTGGCCAGCATGATTATACACCAAGGTGCACAGAACGCTGTTACCTTCCCACCAAAATGGTACCTATTTATCTGCTCACATTTGCATGCTTTTGAACTGCTAAGTGGGCAGGAGCTGGGGCAGGTAACAGGAGCTCACCCCATTGTTCAGCACTCGAAACCCAGTCTTTAACTGCTGAAACATCAATCCCCCCCCCCCCATGATGTGAATAGTATGTAAATGTGCCTTATGTCTATGTAGCTATTAATGGTTGATTTGTCTGAATGCCAAGCTTCTGGGAATTCTCTAGCATTTTTGGATTTGGCTTGAGCTAAGATGCTAATAATTTCCCACTTGAAACTATAGTAGAACACGTCCAAGTTATATTAAGATTGTTATATTGCTCTGTTAGTTTTATACTCCTTTATGCTTCTGCTTGCTTGCATACAACAAGAAAATGAAATCCAAAATTAAATGCAGAGTGACTTCATATATTTCTGAAATATCTATACCTACATATTTATATCTATATCTATAGGTAGTCCTCAATTAACAATCATTGGTTTAGTGATTGTTCAAAGTTACAACAGCACTGAAAAAAGTGACATGACTTTTGCAGCTTTCCCATGGTCACACAATCAAAATTCGAACACTTGGCAACTGGTATGTATTGATAATGGTTGCAATGTCCCAGGGTCATGCAATCATTTTTGTGGCCTTCTGACAAGCAAAGTCAATGGGGAAGCCAGATTTACTTAACAAGCATGTTTACTCACTTAATAACTATCTTGCTTGTCAGTGGAAATTTTGAGCTCAGTTGTGGTCATAAGTCAAGGACTACCTGTATTTATATCTATATCTAGCTAATAACAAGCAATATATATTTCTTATTATTTATTTAAAAATACTTTAGTCCAATAATGTCAACCACTATGAGCTGGCAAGCTTAAAAAATAAGAACTACATGGATTCTGTTCTTTTTTCCGGGTAGGTAATCTAACAGAATTGTGAAGGCTACAGAAAGAATTCAGCCACATAACATATATACATAAAGCAGACCTATTCTCAAATTCTTTTCCATTCCGCCCCCCACCCATAGTTCTTCTGTCATGGGCCTATTTTCTCCTTAACTATCTTATCACTGCCAAGTATTTCATCAAAAATAAAAATACACCGGGAAAATATTCTAACTGCATTTTAAAGGCATTTAGAACTATTTCTGTCTCTCAACTTTTAATTGGCGAAGGGTGGAATAAATTCAAAGCTACTGTAAATGAAGGATTAGAATAGCAATTAAAGTATCCTATGAAAGAGGATATGATGAAAAAAAGGAGGACATTGAGTGATATTTTTAAAAAATAAATGCTAACCTGAACCAAAAATAATTATAACAGCAATGACTAATGTTAGTATTTCACCCATCAATGTAAACACTCTCCACTCACAAGAACACTTTTATCTCACATACACACATAGCTGCTAGCCTTTCACAAGGCACTAAAAACTTGACTGTTCCCTCAGGCATTTGGATCTTGAGGTTAAGCAAATTCTGCTGGTTGACTAATTTTATTGGTGTTTTTCTTCTGTTTCTAAACTTTACTTATTTATGGTCAATGATCAGCAAAGTAGTTACAACACTAAATAAAACATCTAAAATCAGGTTCAAATGAAATGAAAAGAATAACACCCTAAGGACCTGCCAGTTAAAATTTACATGTAAGAAAATAAGCAAAGCAAAGCAAAGCAAAACAAAACAGATTGTAACAATACATTTAAAATAAAGATTATAGGAATATTTTCATTGTATCTTTCTAAGGTTTAGATATCTTAAGCCTTCTAAATGCACTAACTTCCAATAAAGACTTTGGAATTCTATGACAGTGGGGTTCAAATCTGAGAGTGGAACTCAACTACCCCTGCCTGATTAGAAACTTAATCTCTACGAGAAGGAGTTATGGGTATATTAGTATATATTAGTATATTACTAATATATTAGTATATTACTCATAAAAGCAATGGTGCCCTTTATTTACTCATGCATTGGTCACTTCATTATTGGATTATTGCAATGTGTTCTACATGGGGTTGCTCTCAAAGACCACACAGAATCTACAGATGGTTCAAAGAGGTGCAAGCAGTAAGGGTTGCCTCTTGGTGTGGGCATGTTTTACCATTTATGTGTGAGCTGAATAGTTGCCAGTTGGCTTCTGAGTGCAATTGAAGGTGCTGGTTATTACCTGTAAAGCCCTGTATGGCATAGGGCAGGGGTAGGCAACCTTGGCTCTTTTATGACTCGTGGACTTCAACTCCCAGAATTCTGGGAGTTGAAGTCCACGAGTCATAAAAGAGCCAAGGTTGCCTACCCCTGGCATAGGGCCTGGAAAATGGGAGACCACTTGTTGCTACTTGTCTTGCCATCCAAGTACATTCCAGCAGAGTAGGTGCTCTTCCATTAAATATTTCCATCTTGTGGGACCTAGGAAGTGTGCCTTATATGTTGCAGCCCCCTCCCTCTGAAATAGCATCTCTTTAGAGAGAAGGATGGTGCCATATCTCCTAGGGTTCCAAAATGTTTGGAAAACAGGCTTTGGTCCCAGTCCTGGAGTTAAGGTTTGCTATTTGTATAATGCCCCCTATTTGCTTTATGGATTTTGTTATTATAACATTTGAGTCTGGGCTGCCTATTCATTTTAGCTTTTCTGTGTCTTTTTTTAGTATTGTGTGCCACTCACAGTTGGGTGGCCAATAAATTTAATATTCATTACAGCCACCTGGTAATTTCTCTTATGAAATGGCTTTTATTTCCCTTTGTAAATTGGGAACATTCCTTTTCAATCTTGGACATTTGTGATGTAGATTATTATTTATTATTTTGGTTTTAACTTTTTGCATGCCTTCCAGAATCATTGTAATGAGATTGGTAACCATCTTCTAAATCATTCAAATAAAGGAATAAAAGATAAACATTTGATTTGTTTCTTTCTCTGTACCCTCAATTAATACATAGGTGGGATGTTTAGTGTTTTGTTTTCTAGCAGGTAATCAGTTGCCTTACAATAGACTTAAAATTTGCACCTGTAGCTGCCAAGAAAAGGAAAAAAGCCTTGGAATTTTGCCCTAGAATCATCAGATTGTTCTGCCTCCTTATTTCCTTTCTGCCCAAGCTATTCTGCCTCAATAATAAGCAGACTCCCTGGACACCAGCCAGGTCAGAATTATACTTGCATATGCTCTTCTGTTTCCAAATCTGATGCCATGAAAAGTCAGGAGAGTGGAGATACCATATCTGGGCTAAAAAATCCAGACAACCAAAAGAGGGAAGCAAAGAGATAAGAAAGCTTCAATTAACAGCTGCCATCTATTAGTTACTCAGATTTCCTGCAGTCCAGAAACTGTTAAATCTTTTTTGGTGGTGGTGCGGGGTGCTTTCGAGTCACTTTATGACTCCTGGTGACTTTCTGGACTAATCTCTGCAGTGGGCAAGGCTTTTTGGAAATGTTTTGCCATTGCACCCTTTCAAAACCTGAGCTAGAGTGACTGGCTCAAAGTTACCCAGCTGGTTTTGTGCCTAAGGCAGGACTAGAACTCACAGTCTCCCAGTTTCTAACTGACACCTTAAACTACTATACCAAACTGGCTGTCATATGCTGTATAGTAGAGGAAACAAAACACAACAGACAAAGAAAAAAGAGTAAAACATGCAAAGGGTGGAAATACACAAAAAAATCTGGACCATTCACCACAGTTTTGGTAATCTGACCATCTTATGAAGGATTCTGGATTTTTTTTGTATACACTAAGCCATGGAACCTAAATTGGATTAAAGATATGTATCATTAGTGAGGTCCTGCAGCTTCTTCTGTTCTCCTGTTACTAGAAGAAGCTTAATCTTATCTTATGTAGCATGAAGTAAACCAAATGAGTACCTAAACTGACTCCCGGCAGCATCTGGTGATAGTGTAAAGATAATTAGACAAGATTCAATTAGAATATGTGCTGCCTAAAGGTGCTAGACACAGTATACCCAGGGCTCACATAGCATAGGCTCCTTTATAACTTTTCATCAAATTCAGGACAATAAATGGAATAAATATGAAGTGTCAGAAACTCAGCTTGAATATTAGAATGTTTTTAGTGTTATGACCATGCTTTCAAAGGGAATTTTTAATAACCATAAAATATTTACTGGTAATGGGTAGTCCTTGACTTACAATCATTTGTTTAGTGAAAATTCAAAGTTACAAAAGCACTGAAAAAAGTGTCTTATGGCTATTTTCCACGCTTGCAAATGTTGCAGCATCCCCATGGTCACATGATCAAAATTTGGATGCTTGGCAGCAGCATATATTTAGGACGATGGTAATATCTTGGGGTCATCACCTTTTGCGATCTTCTGACAACTGCAAGGATTCACTTAACAACTGTGGCAAAAAAGGTCATAAAAAGGGACAAAACTCATTTAACACCTGTCTTGCTTAGAAATGGAAATTTTGAGCTCAATTATGGTCATACGTTGAGGACTACCTGTAGTCATTGATTTACAATAAGCCACCTGGCAACCGTTCAAAGTTAGGACCAATTTGAAAAAGGGGTTCCGACAGTTGGATCCCCCCACAACGATCAGACGACTACACTTCAGACAATTGGTAACATCACTGCATTTACAACCATTTGCAGTGCCCTGGGCTTACATGACCATGTTTTATAACAGTTTTGCTTAACAGGGGTGCTTATTTTTTGGTAAAACTGTATCCATAGTGAGCAGTGGATTCATTTAATGACTGTGGCGATCACTTAATGACTGTGGTGTTCGCATTTTCAATTATGGCATTCGCTTAACGACTGTTGCAAAAAAAATATCATAAAATCAAGTTGAGCACATGACCAATCTGTTTTATGACTGTTACAACTTTTAACAGTAATGGCCAGGCTCCATTATGGTCGTAACTTCAGAACTACCTGTCTTAGTGGTTTAAATAAATGATATGGCATATTTTTCACTGGGCATATCAAATTTTCCTCATCACACATTCAATACATTTTGCTTTCTAACAACTATTTTAAAAAGTTGTTCAAGAACTTCCACATTATATAGAACTTAAACTATGAAATTCATATTATATAGACATCATATTATATTACATCTGAATATAGCAAGAATAATCTCATCCAGTATTCAATATGAAACCAGAGCTGGTCAGCTGCTTTGGAGAAATATTTATGTACAATTTAAAAGTATTCTTCATTCATTCTTAGTCCTAAGAGTTACATTTGGAGCCATATTATTTTTGAATCTGACATCTCATGTAAGTTTATAAAGGGTTTGGTTGACAGGTGCCTCTTTAAAATGTAAAATCAATTGTGAATGGTACTGTGCTTGCATTAAGAGTATAAATCGATGAAGTCCAATAGTTAATCAAATTCAAAGCAATCATCTGCCTCTTGAATAAACACTGGACATTTCTTATACAAACAGAAGTAAAAATCATATTTATAAAACAGATTCAACCATTTAAATTATCATTAACCCTTCTACCCCCAAAATGTAATTCAAACATGTTTCATAAAAACAATGCTGAAATTAACATACCAAGCTTGTCATAAAGTGAGCAATATTTGTATACATCAGGCTTCTGGAATCTAGTGCCTCCAGATATGTTGGGAATTAAACATATGGTTGAATTATCTACTGATTATAGCAGCTGTAGTTGAACACATCTGAAGACACCAGGTTTGGGAAGGAAGTGTACATTAGTTGAGCTTGATTAATATACATTTTAACTTTACCAAGCCTATCAAACTGTGGTTGGATTATAAAAGCAATTTATATTCTTGAAAAACATTTTTGCAAACTGTCAAGGCATGTCTATTTATATACAGTATATGCAGTCTCCTATAACGTGTATAGGAAATAAATACATAAATCTTGCATTTATAACCAGAAATGGGATTCCTGGAATATATTGCTTGAGATCCTCTGATGACACTTGTTCCAAATTACATCTAAATGACAGGCTACATGAACCTCTATCAGGGCGAATGCCTTTTTATAGTAGATTATGATTATGAAACAATCCCCAAAGAGAATTTTGTAATTCCTTTCTAAAGGCAAACCTACTTATTTTAATATTGAAAACTGCCAAGATTTGCATGAATAGCAGTTCTGACACAAATCAATAGTTCTTAGGCATTTATAAGGCTCAACTAGAAAATTCTTGAATCCTTATAAAAAACAAGGTACAACAGAAGTTAAACAAGTTATTGAAAATGAAAGCACATTTAGATGCCAATATAAAAGCAACAATTAAAATATATGCAATTATGCACCATTGGCTATCAGGGATACAAACATACCATCATCCATTTGTACATTTTGTCAAATCTCCCTACGTTCAATGGAGTTTATCACTGTGAGCATATCTTGGATTGCAACTTTCACTCCTCCACTTAGGAGAAAGAAACAGCATCACGGAGAAGAACATGCCTTCTACAAGGATCCACTGATAAATAACAGAAGAGTCACTGTGCAAATAAACCTGTCAAAAATGGTTTTGTTCTGAAACGTTGACATTCCGCCAAAGGATAATTATTCTCTTTTAACCCATGCAAAGTTTGAAATGCAGAGTTTCAAAACACATACAAAAACAAGTAATAGGAGTGAGCCAAAGAAACATTTGAGGAAAAGACTTGGGGGGGACGTGTGTGTGTGTGTGGGGGGGGGGAGGCTCTCCTACCTTGGTTAGCTGAGCTATTTTCTTGCTCATTTTGAGATGGAGATCCTGGTTGTATTCCATGCCGAAATGGGAGGACATCGCTGAGGAAGACGAGCTGGCGTTGAATTTCCCAGTGCTGGTCGAAGAACTGCCGCTGTAATAGTGCTGCTGCCAGCTCATCCCTGGTGTCGCCATCTTCCACAGCAAAAGAGACCCCGTGAACGGATCTGCCAGGCACCAGGGGAGGAAGAAGAGGACAGCGAGGATGAAAAGCAAATGTAGGGAAAGGGAGGGAGGATAGAGACAGGGAACTAGCGCTCCGGGCAAGAGAGGGAAGGTGTCAAAAGGAAAGAGGGGAGGTAAAAATTCCTCCTCATCCCCCCCTTTTTTTTATTCAGGGACGCGCGCGCGCGCGCAAATACGCGCGCGCAAAAAACCAGCACCTGGCCCTCGCTGTCTTCTCTTTCGGGCCTTAAGTGGTCATTTTGGCCTTTTCTGCACCGCTGTCTTATTCGGCTGGGAGGAGAGATGGGGGGGGGGGGGGAAAACAAGGGCCCTACAGCCTCTCCTCCCCCGCTTCGCCCTGGTGTAGAGAGGCGGGTATTTGGAGAGAAAGAAATTTCCCCCCTAAGTGTGAGCTTCTCCGTTCAATGGAGGTATTAAAAACCAGCCTCCTGCAGACCCTTACCACCTCCCCCCCGGGAAGCCCCGGCAGTCCCTTCCCTTTCTCCCGTCGAGAGATGGCGGGGAAGGAGGTGTGTGTGTGGGGGGGGGGGAAGGTGGTCCCCGCTCTTCCTTCACCGGAGCATCGCTCCCCGCGGGACTCTCTTTTAACTCCCGCGGAAGGAGAAGGACCCCGAGCAGCCGGCCTGCGCTTCCAGGGCTCCTCTCTCTTCTAGACGCAAAGTTAAAAAAAAAACCAAAAATAAAACCAGAAGGAGCCGCGGCGACCTCGCGCTCCAGACCCACCGTCGCCAACCGACGGTTACCAGGGTCCCACCAAACAGTTTACACCTCGCGGGTAACGTCATTTCCGGCTCTGTCGGCCTCTCTCGTCTCCGCCCCCTTTCAGAACCTCGGAAAGAGGCTTTAAAAAAAAAAAAAAAAAAAAGAGTCGCTCGCAGGGATCGAGCGCTTCGCGCGCCCGCCAGGCCGTGGATACATCCGCGCTAAGCTTGGGGTGGAGGGTGGGGAAGGGGGGGTAAGAAAAGGAATCCCTCTGGGTCTTCTGTGGATGTCACTCTGGAATCTGCCGCTCCCTCCTCTCCTCCTGGCGTCAGGCCTAAAGAGCAGCCAGCTTTGTTTCCCGGGCTGCAATCAACAATGACAGGTGTAACAGTCTTGCTAGGATCAGACTACTCTGGTCTCCACAAACAGCAATCGCCAAGAAAGACAATCTCTCTCTCTCTCTCTCTTTCTCCCTTCCATCCCTCAGGCTTTTTTTTTTTTTTTGCGTGGCTCTTGCTGCTTTGGAAGAGGTGTACTACACACCCTTCTCAGACCTGCTCTCTGCTAGGTTGTGCAAGCTGGAGCATGAATGAAGCACCTGGGTTTGAATGGCGACATGGGCAACTTTGTTTATTAGATTGAAAAGGCTGTCCAACTCAACCCTGATTTTGGGAAGCATGCTGATTAAAAATAGATGCAATGCCTAAGAACAAAAAAAAAAATAGTAAACATGAATATGTGAACGACACACTGCACTCTAGATGGGCACGGCCTAACTGGTCTCATAATTTGGGGAAAATAATAGGTCAGCGATTGTTTAAAAGCTTGCAGGATTGGAGCAGTCTGAATCTCCAAGGGGATGCTACTCTAAAGGCAGGCACTGTGGCAGAGAAGGTGCACTTCCTAATGCCATCAAATGACATTGCTTAATGGATGGGACACAAGGCAACCTTGCTATGTCAGATCTTATGAGGCAGGCAGAAATGATGGGACTGAAGCATTCCAAGGCATAGATCTTGTATATCTGAGTAAGGACTTTATATTTCATAAACTGTGTCTTGAATTGTTTATGGAAGCTCACTGATAACCAGTGCACCTCACACAGCAGAAATGTTCCCTGGGTGTACTGAGGTGAGCCCAGAATTGCTTATACCTTTGTGTTCTGGATCAGCTGTAGCTTCCTAGTGATCTTCAAAAACGGTCCCAGGTAGAGCACATTACAAAGTGACCCAGACCTGAATGACCATGAGACCCCTGGTCCAAGAAAGGACACATTTAGCACACCAGATGAATCTGGGAGAAAGCCCTTCCAGCTAAATTGCCACCTGATCTTCAAGCAAGGTGTGATGGATTGTGGCTATAAAGGGGGAAGTGTTGTGATGGACTACAGTGAAAAGGCAGTTTTCCAGGAAGGAGGGAGCACATTCCAAGGAGATGGATGAGACAAGAGACAATACAGTCCAAGGCTGGATTGGAGACAGAGGAAGAGGTTTAGGATAGCCGCTCCCTAGAGTCTATATCTGTCAAGGTTAGATTAGTATAGATTTAGTCTGACAAGATTCTGTCTTTATAATATAAACAAATAAAGAACTGGATTGTTCTGTGTTGTTCTTGGGCTGGGCCTGTCACAAGAGCTGAGAGTCCAGGAGGACCCTCAAACTGTACACATATTCTTTAAGGGGTTGTGCCACTTCATTCAAAATAATAGGCAGAGAATTGTAGCATCAGAAGAACCATGCATCCCTAGTTCTTTAGTCTTATCAGGGTTAAGTTTAAGCTTGCTTTTCCTCATTCAGATCTGAAGAGCCTTCAAGTACTGGGACAAGACCTCCACAACCTCCAATATCTGGAGTGACCAGATATTTGGTTAAGTATCATCATCATACTGATGATCCCTAACCTCATTCAGTAGATGATACCCAGAATTCCCATGAAGATGTTAAACATCAGGGATGAGAGTGCCAAGGCTTAGGTGCCCTGCAAACTAAGGGCTTTGGACTGGATTTTTTTTCTCATCAATCAACACTGATCATAATATAAAAAGGAGGAAATTCAGCACAGTACTATGCCTTCTGCTTCAAAACCATATAGCTGGTCCAGAAGGATACCATGATTAAAGGCCACTGAGAGATCGAGAAGAAGAACCAATATTTTTGCTGCAGAAAGGGGGCTTTGTATGTATGCATGCATGTGCACATCTAGACAACTGGGAACAAGTTTAGAAGCAGCATGATAAATGATGTGGCTGCTTTAATGAAGGGAGGGCTGAACCCACAGGGTAAAGATTTTAGGGATCTTTAGATTCAGAGTCTCTGCAGTCACAAAGACAGCAAATGGCAAACCATGTGGCATACTTTCATAATGCAAGCTTTGACTTTTTGTTGTTACAATCCAGTGTTGCAAACAAATACAGAATAATTTAAAACAAAAATATGTTTGAATTGGAGACCATGAGGCAATTACACTGAAGTTCAAATTGAAGGCAAAGACTGGCCTAAAAAGGGAAGAAGTTACCTAATCCTTATTTTTATAGATGTATGTAACTTAAGGGTATACATGTGAATGAGCGTAGAAGATAGGTATTTAATTTGGTATGTATAATTGCAGAGTATTTGATTGGATGTAGCACATCATGTATCTTGTGAGGTCAGTGAGGCTAACTAGAGTATAACTAAGTGGTAATAGGCAGGAATACAAAGACAATGGAAGTTTTGAAAAAGCAAAAGGGAAATATTTCATGAATGTATGAAATACAGTTTTTTATGGAGAGTTAATGATATGAGAATTCTCAAATTGTTCCTGATTCCAAAGTCTGTGTTTACCTCCTAGTTTCTTTTCCTCATCAGTATTCCTTAGCCTTCCAAATATTTTATGGCTAAACTGATGGTTTAATTCCCCTGTAAGGATGTATTTGAGCTAAGGACTTTTAGCTTGATCTCCAATATTCCTCTTCATAAGCTTGGTTAGATGGAAATTACAGGCTTCAGTAGTTGCTGGTATACAAGTTCAGCAAAAGGTTATTCTTATTCTCAGGTATGATCTGCTTAAGCTGGTGTTTCCCAAGCCTGGGTAAATTACTCAAATTGTGTAAAAGTGGTTTTTCTTTGGGTAACAACACACAAACCCGTTATCCAATCACAACAAGGACATTTAAATTGAGTTAAAGTGTTAAAGTATTTTACCTACATTCAGTGGTGGGATTCAAATATGTGAACAATTGATTCTCTGTGTGGATGCCGCTTCTGGAAGTCCATTCGGGGCCTGGAGAACAAACAATTAGCTACCGGTTCTGTCGAAGTGGTGCGAACCAGCTGAATCCCACCACTGGCACACATTGGATGAAAAGGACTTTCTGATAAATGGTTTTGGATAAATATAAGTTTGGGAAGCAGTGCTTTAAGTGCTATCATGCATGTCACTGTGCTTTCCCACAAAGTGCTTTTCTTTATATAATTACCTATATCCATTGGAAGTACCTACCATAGAGCCTCTAGCACTTACCCATAGGTTATAAGGCTTTTTGTTAAATATACTAATTGGATTTACCTGAGAAGATGAATGACCACCAAGCACTTTTAAGAAAAAGTGATCAATCTTAACACAATTCAAAACATGTTGAAATATTATAGATCCTTCTGAGGGAAAAAAGAACTGGACATTTTCTCCACTTTTGTTTGTGTCTTGTTTTCTTTGGTTTCTTAAAGTCCACCAAGAGCACTTTGGCCGGCTGCTAAGAATAGTTTTCATATGCAGAGTCTGTAACTTTAAAAAGGCTTTTTAAAATTTAAAATTGTCTTCTTTCAGTTACTGGGCAATATGAATAATTACCAGTCCTTCTCAAATGTTTCATACTTTCAACAAAGTAATTAAAAAAATATGATGGGGCCATTTTGAATTATAGTAGAATATATGAATTGGAAGGAATAAATCATGTCCAAAATGGACAATTTCCTTGTAACAAGATTTGAAAAGTAGAATGACCAGTCAAAAGGTTCATTGAAAACAAAGAGGAATTGAGAAATAGTAATTCTAAATGTCTTCCAGAATCTCAGAAGGGCAAGGAATCATGCATACTTCATTGTTTTTAAAGTTTAAACAGGAAATCAAATTGACTTTTATTAAATAACTTTACACAGATTATAAACAGGCTCAAAATATTACAACGTGTCTATAGACAACCAAACAGGGTGGAATTGTATAATGGGATCATCAGCATACTGATAGTACCACACCCTTTGTCAGCCCGTGACCTTACCCAGAGTTTTCATGTAAATAATGTTAAAGAGAAGAAGAGAGATATCCAT